GGGGGGGGGTATTTACCCAGAAGTGAAATGGCTGGGGTATTCTATTTTTAATTTTGTGAAGAAACTGCCACGTTTTCCATAGCGGCTGCACCATTTTACATTCCTACCCACGGTGCACCAGAGTTCCAACTTCTCCGCATCCTGGCCAATACTTTTTTTCTTTTTTAATAGTGCCCATCCTCGTGTCTGGGAGGTGTGGTTCTTGCTTCGCAAGGGCTTTGCTTTTTGGAAAGCAGATGAGTCACCTTTTTTTTTTTTTTTTTTGACAGGAGCACTTATATCTGTCAGGCTTTGGTTGTGCAATCCCGTGAATGGCTCACCTCGTGAACATCCCACCCCAGCTGATAAGAGAGAGCTATCCTTAGCCCAGGGTTTAGAAAAGGGTAAGAGCTTGCCAAGGTCACGGGTAATCTACGGAAGCCCTGACGTCTTCTCTTTATTTCACTCTGCGTTGTTAAGTAATCCACCACCTGTAGGCTCAGAGCACCCGAGCCCCTGTCCCCAATCTTAGCACAAATGCTCAGCCAAGGGAAGAGTGAGCATCGCTGGCCACCATTGCTGTCTCTGGGGACCCAGGGGACCCAGCTTCATGCCCACACGCACTGATAGTTCTGCAAGAGTGTCCTCATTTCTACATCTGTTAGCGACTCCACGAGACAGGCTGGGCAGTTAGATTCCTCCCCTTGGGGCGCCTGGGTGGCGCAGTCGGTTAAGCGTCCGACTTCAGCCAGGTCACGATCTCGCGGTCCGTGAGTTCAAGCCCCGTGTCAGGCTCTGGGCTGATGGCTCAGAGCCTGGAGCCTGTTTCCGATTCTGTGTCTCCCTCTCTCTCTGCCCCTCCCCCGTTCATGCTCTGTCTCTCTCTGTCCCAAAAATAAATAAACATTGAAAAAAATTTTTAAATAAATAAATAAATAAATAAAAAAAACCTGGGGCTGGCCTTCTGGGGTCCCAAACCCAACATATGCACAAAATCCAAAAAGCGCATGGATGTGGGGTGTGTTTCTCGAGGAAGAGCCTGTCTCCTTGCTTTTGTCTGATTTCAAAGGGATCTGTGACCTGGGCGAGACTACATAAATATATTCGTCCGAAGGGTGTCCCCAGCCGGACCACTGTAAAAATATAAAAACAGCTCTTGAGGGGGAGGGGGGGTTGCTTGGCAAAAACCATTTCATGAAAGTAAGCTCTGAGGAGGAAGGTGCCCCAGGCCTGTGGTTGGGGACCTGACTGCTCTGTGGTAGCTTCTCTCCGAACTCCCTGGCTGTGCCTACTCTGTTTTCCTGGCTTCCCCCTCTTTTCTGTAATTTCTACAGCTGGAGGGTCTCCGAGCTTGGTCCTTGGACCCTCCTCCTCATTATTCCGTTCCAGGGTGGTATCATCTAGTCTCAGCTGCATCCCGGCGACTGGCTTTTATTCCCAGCCCAAACATCTCTACAGACTCACACAGCCAAGCGCCCATCTTTTCGATAGCTCCACGGGGCCTTTCCCCAGCTGCTGAGAACTCCCCGAAACCTTTCGCTTCATGGAGCCCCTCCCTTCCGTGCCTGTCCCTTCCCCTCTTGGCCACTAGCACTGATGTGGGAAACAAAGGCAGAAGGAAATGGCAGAGAGAAATAAATTTCCTTATAACCTGCAGCCCGTTGGCAAATCCTACTTAATGCCTTAAGTGCTTCCTGTTACACCTGAATAGAGTTTCAGGGCCCCCCGAAACCCTCTTCCTACTCTTCTCCAGCCACTTGGACCTCCTCACTATTCCTTAAACAAATGAAAAATTTCCCCACTACCCTGCCCTTTGCATATTCTTTCTTCTGCCTGACGCTGGTTTCCCAACAGCTTTTCATCACTCAGATCCTGGTTCATGGTTCATATGGCCCCCGCCCAGGGAGTCCGTCCCTGACCACCTGACCTGAAGCCACTTCCTTCCCCGCCTCAAACCCTAGTGACGCCATCCCGGACCCTGTTTGAGTGCCTTCAAAGCACCTGTTCGTATCTAAAGTGACCCTGTTCATTCATTTCCTTGCTTACGGTGCGGTCTTGCTATTAGATCAGTGGCCTCTGACGTCTTTTGTGTGACCTACATAAAGACAGAAATTTCACATGTGACCCAGTGATCCAGGTGTTAAGGCTGTGTAACATATAATTCTCAAATTTACTGCCTTTAAATAATGGCATTGATTTTTTTTTTTTCCAAGTTTATTCACTCTGAGAGAGAGCACACAAGTGGGAGAGAGGGAGAGGGAGAGAGAATCCTAAGCAGGCTCTGCACTGTCAGCGCAAAGCCTGATGTGGGGTTTGAACTCACGAACCTTGAGATCATGACCTGGGGCAAAGTGGGACGCTTTACAGGCGAAGCCACCCAGGTGCCCCAACAATGGCGTTGATCTTGCTCACAGATCTTTGGTTTCAGCAGGACCCTGCCCCTCTCAGTGTCAGCTGGGATGGCTGGGAGGCTGCGGACTGGAATGATTTCAATGTTCCCTCACTCACCTGTCTGATGGTTGGATTCTGTCTTCTGCTGTGACCTTATCTGTGAGACTCACCTCGGCTTCCTCACAACACAGCAGCTGGGCTCTGAGAAAGTATCCCAAAATTAAGAGAAAGCAAAAGGGAGTACAAGCTAGCCCCAGGCAGAAACCGTACCCTAGTTTCTGATCAAGGCTTGTAGTAATTCACACAGTGTCCTTTCTGCCACATTTTATTTGTTGCACAAAGTCCTGCTGAGGTTCAAAGGAGGAGGATGGGAGTCTGCCTCTTGACGGGGAGTGGCAAGGTTGGAACTATTTCTGTAGCCATTTTTTTGCAAATATAATCTGCCACACCCAGTACACAAATGCGAATTTTGGAGTTTCCCAAAACAATAGTTAACTTTCGGTACACAGTGCACAGATTTTTTCCCCCATTGTATTTTGTAGAAAATGCTGGTCATGACCTGTTGAATTGATTTCTTTACCTCAGTTTGAGAAACTTGCCACATAAACGTGCAGCTTGTCTTTTCTCTACCCTAACCCTTCACACAGTATGGTGTTTGGTCCCAGTTAGGCTAAGTGCCTTACCTGCTAGTGTTCTACGTGTGTTTTATTTAACGCCTTAATATAGTGCTTACCGAATACCAGGCACCGTCCTCACTTATTCCTCGCGCCAACTCTTAAGTGGGCACTATCGTGACCCTCATCTTCCTGAGAAGGAAACTGAGGCACAAAGAGATGAAGTCATTTGCCCAAGGTAACAAAGCTAGTAAGTGGGATTCGAATCCGATAAATCTAGTTGCAGGCTCCATTTTGCTATGGAGCCTCTCAGGGAATTTACTTATTTATTATGTTTATTGTGAGTATCCCACGCACGCACTGTAGAACGAAATGCAGTCCAACGCTTCGCCCCTAGAACCCCGCCCTGGCTGCAATACGGTCTCTGCAGCTAAGGACTCATAAACAGCTTCATTATCAGCCAGGCGCTTTCCGACCTGCGCAGGCGCAACACGCAGAACTCCCGCAGGCACACACCCCCGCTCCCAGCGGCCGATTGGCTATTGTCTGAGACGGACGGAGGAGTTGGCGCAGGCGCACTGGACCAGACCTGAAGCTAAGTCCCACCCATTATCTGATGACTGACGTAAGATCAAGCTAATGGGAACAGGGCTCTCCGGGGAAGGGGCGGGCAATGAGGGCAGTTAAATTTGCGCGGGCTTGGTCCTGGCGTAGTCATGGCGGCCTTCCGCGACATGGAAGAAGTGAGCCAGGGGCTGCTGAGCCTGTTGGGCGCCAACCGCGCGGAGGCGCAGCAACGGCGGCTGCTGGGGCGCCACGAGCAGGTGGTGGAACGGCTGCTGGAGACGCAAGACAGCGCCGAACAACGGCTGCGAGGTCAGGGCTGGGGCCGGGGGCGGCCGGGACCCGGGCCCGTGTGATGGGAGGGGGCGGGAGGTCCGCCTTGACGAAACCCTCCCTCCTGGGCGCCCCCATCCCTCCCCTGTTCTCCCTTGGGCGCTGCCCCCTCTGGGCCTCAGTTTCCCCACCCGTGAAATGGACTTCAGGATGGCAGCCACCTCCCAGAGAGTTAGTGGTGAATATAGGAGCTGGCAGGAACTGGCAAATTCCGAGCGGTCCACGATCAGGAGCTGGGGGACTCAAGGTTCGAACTGGGGCTCAGGAGTCAAAGCGCTGGGCTTTAATCCCAGCATCCCCACTTACTGAGGTTCAGCTGTTTTACTGAGCACCTGCTGTGTGCCAGGCATAGTGCCAGCCCCGGGTTGGAAGCAGAGAACAGAACAGACAGTCCCTTAAAGGGTTGGTATGCTAGTGGTGGGGTGGTCAGGCGACGAACAAGAAAAATGGAGGGGCACCTGGGTGGCTCAGTTGGTTTGGCATCTGACTTCGGCTCAGTTCGCCCTGGTCGTGAGTTCGAGCCCCCCCATCGGGCTCTCCGCTGTCAGTGCAGAACCCCTTTGGATCCTCTGGCCCCGTCTCTGCCCCACCTCTCCCACTCAAAAATAAACAAACATTTTTTAAAAAGAAAGAAAGAAAAATACTTATGTCAGGAGATGGTGGGCTAGGAAACTAGGTTGTATAGGAGGGAGTGGTGATGCTTTGGGATGAGTCAGCGAAAACTTTCTGAAAAGATGATATTTTAGCGGAAACCCAAGGAGGTTTGGGAGGGATCCAGGGCTATGGTGAGGATTAAATAAATTGGAGGGAGTGCAAGTTGGGGAGGGGCGGAGAGGGGGCGACAGAGGATCCAAAGCTCGCTCTGCTCCGCAGGGACAGCAGCCAACCCGATGCAGGGCTCAAACTCACGGACATTGAGATCGTGACCTGAGCCAAAGTCGGACGCTCAACCAATTGAGCCACCCAGGTGCCCCAAATTTCCTTCCTTTTGAGGGATGAATAATTTCATAGTCCGGACATACATCATTTTGTTTGTCCATTCCTCCACTGATGGGCACTTGGGTTGCTTCCAGACCCTGGCTGTTGTAAATAATGCCACCATGAACACATGAACATGGGTGTACAAATACCTCTTTGGGTCCCTGCTCCCAGTTCTTTTTGTATTTTCCCAGAAAATTTGTATTTTCTTTGTGTATTTTTCTATTTTGTATTTCCCATGCTAAATCACATGGCAGTTTGATATTTCGTTTTTTGAGAGACTCATCCAGTTTTCCATAGTGGTTTCGGTGCCAGGTTTTTGTTTTTCTTTTTTCTTTTTTTTTTAAGTCTTTTTACAGTTATGTTTTATGTGGCCGTGCTGTCTGGCTTGGGACTGAAATGATCTAGGAGCTAGGCAGGGGATGGCTTGGGGGTGGGGGGGAGAGTGTTCCTGGCAGAGGTAACTGCAAAGGCAAAGGTCACCAGGTAGGAGTGAACTTGGACACCCAGGAGAAAGTGGAAGATGAGCTGTAGCCAGACCCTGTAGGCAGTGAACCCCCCCACCCCCAACCCCGGGAGTTTGGAGGTTGTTCTAAGTGTGATGGATGCCCAGCCAGAGTCTTCTCCTCTCCTCCTCCTCTCTCTCCTCCGCACTCCATTCACTCCTCCTCCATTGATGGTTTGGGGAGAAGATCATTATTACCCAGCCTGCATGGGCTTCAGCAGAATGAATGGATTTGGGGCCAGGGAGACAAGAGTCCGTGTTCCAGGGAGCCGGGACTTTGAGTTAAAGGGCTCCAGTTCAGATCTATGTGCCTGTGGACAGGCCACTTTAATATCTTCAGGCTTCTGTCCTTCATCTCTCCATGGGGGCAGGGGTTAAGCCACCTCCCTCAGAGGGTTTTGAGAACATACTGAACAGGGGCTCCGGGGCTATCCTGTAGCACTCAGCACACGCTCAGGTAATGGTACTTTGTGACAGTGCCCCCGGGGAAGAGGGCACTCCCAGGGAAGAATCCAAGGAAACAAGGTTGTCTGGGGAGGGTGAGGGGAGAAGGGGCAGGAAGGCTGCAGAAGAAAGCCAGACCCTCGGCTATCCTAACAGGAAATCAGCAGGCACTGTTTAAAACAGACAAATCAAGAAATAGCAGCCTAAGCAAATTATTTAGAAACACGAACGTCAATGCCAGAGAAAACAGTGATGATTTGGAAGTGGCTGCTTCAGAGGCGTGGGGAGGCTTGGGGGGGGGGGGCCTGTGTGTGTTTAAATTTTCACAGCCATATACATGTAATACCTTGATTAAAAATTAACTCAATGTAAGTTTGTTAAACACTTAAACGCCTGCCCTTTGGGAAGTGTTTCCATCTGTGCCTTCCCTGAGTTGGCAGGTTCCTCCAGCTCTATGGGAAGGAACACGGTAAACTTGCTAGGGTGTTTTTGATCTTTCTGGATGTTTTGGTCAAAGCATGTTTATTCTGATTAGGCGCTGGAGATATATGGGGAGTGTAAGACGCAGTCCCCGATTCGAGCGAGGAGGAGGAGGAGGAGGAGGAGGAATGAACAATTCAGTGCCGCCCGGGCTGTGGTGGAGGCGTGGCCGCGCCCTGGGAGGGAGAGCAGAGTGTCCAGCTGCCCCGGTTGTGTGTTACCCAGGAGGTCTCGAAGGCTGGGTCTCCGAGCGCCCGAAGGGTGGGAGCATTAAGGGCATCTCAGAGAGGACGGGCAGGTGGAGGCCGGGCCTGTGAAAAATGGGCATGTTTGCAGAATGGTGAGGTGTCTTTGTGGCCAGAGCAGAGAGAAAAGTACAAGGTGGGTTGAAAAGCAGGAAGAAAGGAGGCTGTCAAGGAAGAAGATGCTTTCCCTCATTCATTCCTTTGTGGGGTTTTGTGGAGGCTCCGCATGTGTTTTGGTGAAATGGAAGCACTTTTGCAAGGTCTCGGTGGACCACCAAAACGTGGGCTTTTGGAAATAGGACCAATGGGTTGGGGAGCTGTAGACGGGGAAGTGAGGACGATCGTGGTTGAGGCCTCGGGCTCTTCTGGGGCAAGGCCAGACCCTGGAGAGACCTCCTCGAAGGGTCTCAGCCTTCTCTCTCCCGCCCCGCCCCGCCCCATAGAGATCCTGGCTGCAGAAGAAGAAGTGGCCCAGAGCCTTCTGGATGCGAAGGAGCGGGCGCACCAGGGGGGCGCCGAGTTGCAGCAGCTTGAAGCTGAGCTCCGGAAGGCCGGCGAGGAGGACACCCGTCTGAAGGCCAGCCTCCTATATCCTTCCTTGCATGCGCGGACGGCCGGGCCTCGGGCTCACTGCCGGGGTGCCCGTTTGGTCGTGCTGGGAACCCAGCTCGGAGCCCTGGGCCCACGGCGGCCCCCCTTCCAGAGCGAGGTGACCTTAACTGCCTGCTTTACTCAGCTCACCAGAGAGCTGGAGGAGCTCAAGGAGACCGAGGCCAGTCTCGAGAGGCAGGAGAGGGAAGTTGACGAAGACACGACTGTCACCATCCCTTCGGCCGTGTAGGTCCCGCCAGTGCGTGTGGTGGTGCCTGCCCTGCGTGCACGTGGGTCGTCCCGCGGCCCTGAGTTGGAGTCTACGCTGGGGTAACTTAATCTCTCTCTCTCTCTCTCTTTCTCTCGTGTTCTCATACAGGTATGTGGCTCAGCTTTATCGCCAGATTAGCAAAATTGAGTGGGACTATGAGTGTGAGCCAGGGATGGTCAAAGGCAGTATCCTTTTGCAGAGAACGCGGAGCCCAGTGTGCTGCCGGCGGCCTTGTGAAGGGCTGGGCCGTTGTGGAAAAGTCTGGCAGGTCCTCAGAAATGAAGCGTAGGATCACCATATGACCCGGCAGTCCCCCTTCTGGGTTGCACCCTTGTGTTTGTGACTGCGATGGTCACAGTGGCCGAAAGGTGGAAGCAGACCAATTATCAGCAAAGCGCTACGTAAGCAAAATGTGGTATATCCGTGCAATAAAATAGTATTCGGCCTTAAAAAGGAAGGAGGGGCGCCTGGGTGGCTCAGTCTGTTGAGCAACCGACTCTTGATTTCAACCCAGGTCACGATCCCAGGGTCGTGGGATCGAGCCCCATGTTGGACTCTGTGCTGAGCCTGGAGCCTGCTTAGGATTCTCTCTCCCTCTGCCCCTCTCCCTGCTTGTGCTCTCTCTCTCTATTGCTGTCTCTAAAATTAAAAAAAAAAATGGGGGCGCCCGGGTGGCTCAGTCAGTTAAGTGTCCAACTTCAGCTCGGGTCACGATCTCAGGTTCGTGGGCTCGAGCCCCACATCAGGCTCTGTGCTGACAGCTCAGAGCCTGGCCCCTGCTTCGGATCCTGTCTCCTTCTTTCTCTGCCCCTCCCCTGCTTATGCTCTGTCTCTCTCTCTCTCAAAAATAAATAAATATTAGAATTTTTCAATAAAATAAATTTAAATAAATTAGTTAAATTGAAATGAATTAAATTTAAATGAATAGATTAAATAATAAAGTAAACAATTAATAATAAGTAATATTAATAAATTAGTTATATTTAAATTTCCTTCCTTTTTTTAAAAAAGGAAGGAAATTCTGGCCCATGCTATAACATGCATGTATCTAGAAGACATGATGTTAAGTGAAATAAGCCAGACACAAAAAGCGAACTACTGTCTGATCCCACTTACAAGAGGTCTCTAGAGGAGTCAAATCCGTAGAGACAGGAAGTAGATGGCAGGTGCCAGGGGCTAGGGGAGGGGAGGGGAGGAGAGTCCGTGTTTAACGAGGACACAGTTTCGGGCTCTGGAAATGTTCTGGAGACGGACGGTGGGGAGGGCTGTACAACAACGTGTGTGCACCGAATGCCACTGAGCTGCACACTTCAAAACTGGCCAATGAGGTGCTTCGGATTCTGTGTCTGCCTCGCTCTCTGCCCCTCCCCCGCCCATGCTCCATCTCTCTCCGTCTCAAAAATAAACAAACATTAAAGAAAATAAAAAGGAGCGCCTGGGTGGCTCAGTCGGTTAAGTGTCTGACTTCGGCTCAGGTCATGATCTCACGGTTTGTGAGTTCGAGCCCCACGTCGGGCCCTGTGCTGACAGCTCAGAGCCTGGAGCCTGCTTCAGATTCTGTGTCTCCCTCTCTCTCTTCCCCTCCCCTGTTCACGCTCTGTCTCTCAATTTAAGTTTATTTTTGAGAGAGCGAGCATGAGAGCGAGTCGGGGAGGGGCGGTGAGAGAGAAAATCCCAAGCAGGCTCTGCACTTTCAGAGCCTGATGCGGGGCTCGAACCCACAAACCGCAAGGTCATGACCTGAGCCGAAACTAAGAGCGGGATGCTTAACCCACTGAGCCACAGGCGCCCCTCAGTCTCTAAATATCTTTTTTTTCTTTTTCTTTTTATTTTTTTAATGTTTATTCTTGAGAGAGAAAGAGCATGAGCAGGGGAGGGGCAGGGAGAGAGAGAGAGAGAGACACAGAATCGGAATCAGGCTCCAGGCCCTGAGCTGTCAGCACAGAGTCCGACGCGGGGCTCGAACTCATGAGCCATGAGATCATGACCTGAGCCGAAGCTGGGCACTGAACCGACTGAGACGCAGGCGCCCCTCAGTCTCTAAATACCTTACAACTTTTTCACGGGGTCCCGGGGAGGGCTGTGTACGTCAGGTTTCCTTACATCTCCCCCAGTTCATCACGGCCCCAGCGTCGCCCAGCCTGTCCAGCTGGACAGCACCCAGCTCTCCAAGAAGTTCATCAGCGACTATCTCTGGAACTTGGTAGGCACGGACTGGTAGCCCGGAGCCTCAGGGACGCGTCTGCACACGGCACGAGTCAGTGTGGTGGGTGGTCGGTGCCTCAGCGGTGAGAGGAGCTGAAAATTAAATGTTTCTCCAGAGACGGGTTTTGGACCAGATTTCTTTCGGCCCCTGACCACGGCCTCAGTGGCTGGACTGGCCCTGGCTGGGTAACCCTAGAGAACTAACTGGACTTCAGGCTGCTGCTTCGCATCTGAGACGACACTGTGCGAATGGCGCCGCGGTATACGAGGATAGGTCCCAGGGCTCTGTTGTCTGGGATTCGCTCAGGGCCCATCCTCGAGTGCCACCGTGCACCCGGAACTGTGCCGGGTGCCCAAGACACAGACGAAGGGGACGAGGATCCCTTCGGCCGAGGAAGGAGTCAAGTCGGAGCGGATGCCACCCTTGAGCTAGAGAGGGTCAGGAGTGCTAGGGGACCCTGGCCGGGGAGGGGACAGAGACAGGGGCGACTTTTGTGCCAGGACCAGAAAGGACAAGGAGTCGATGAGGAAGAGATTCGGGGCGGGGGGTGGGTTGTGTATCGGAGCCCAC